CCGCCCCCGCGCTCCCACCCACCCCCGGCCCGGCCCTGTCGGCCCTACCTGGCGGCGACTGCCGTTCGCTCTCAGCCATCTTGCTCCCGCCAGGAGCCGGTCGGGATGCTTGTAGTCCCCTCTCACTTTTCACTCCCCGCACCCACCCTCCCTTCCCCGACTACACCACAGGCTCCGAGCTTTCCGAAGAGAAATAAGCGGCGGCCGGCTATAACCGAACACCGAGAATTAAAGTCAGCCCAGCGAAGACGACCACCATGTTGGTGCGGGGCACTCAGGGAGCATGCCCACCAACGGCCGGCTCGCGGCGACCGCGCTGACGGAGGCTGCGACCATGTTAGTGCGGGGCACTCGGAGAGCATGCGCACCAACAGCTGCCCGGCCGGCTCACGCCCTGCCGCGGCCGCCATGCTTTTGCGGGGCGTCAAGTTTGGTTGGTACGCAGCCACGTTTTTGCGGGGCATTTCCCACCTGTCATCTTTGTGGGTGACACTGACATTTCCCGGTCAACATGGTTGTGCCTTCCTACCACTCTGAGAGTTACGCTCAAGAACACCACACGGACTTGGAGGGGTGCACACCACCGCCTCCAACATCTTAGATGGCATTTGGAGGCGGGAGGGAGAGAGCTGGATGGTGACCTCGCCCCGCCCCCTTCTTGGGCACCGGCACCTCGCGGGGTCTCCTAACCGCTAACTAGCCCTCGGCCCTGCCCACCGGCCCCGCCCCCGGCGGTGGCCCCGCCCCGGGCCCGCAGCTAGCCGCCCGGGGCCCGCTAGCCGCCGAAGCCCCGCCCCGCAAGTCGTCCTCCCCGGGTCGCCTGCCCGCCGCGGCCCGGGCCCGGTGGGTGGGCGCGGGGCCGCTTCTACCGGCTGGCGGCGGTGACGCGGCGACCTTGGCCCGGAGGCTCCAGCGTGGAGGCGACAGCGCGGACTTTGCCCAGCGCGGGAGGCGGAACGGACTGCAAAGATGTTAGTCTTCGCCGCCAGGACCGTGGTGAGTGCGGCCGAGCCCTGGCCGGAGGGCCCTGGACGGGAAGGGCGGGCCGCGCAGCTGCGCTCGGGTGGGGAAACGGGCCGCTAGGGCGGCGCAGCCGGGCGGCCGCTGTCCCACCCGGCCTCCAGCTGGTGGGGTGGGGTCGGCAGATGGGCGTCCCCGTTTGGCAGAGGAGGGGGTTGAGGCGCAAGGTCAGAGGCGGGATCCAACCCACGTCCTGCGGCACTCAATTCCAACGACCCGGAAAAGACAGCGGGGACCCTGGCTTCAGTCAGCACCCCACCCTTAGACCCGGACCCAAGGCGGAGAGAGACCAGCCCGGCGCTCAGTCTCCGAGTTATTCTCTGACTCACACCGTTCGCGCGCTCGGGCTGAGCCATCTCTGCGTGAGCCAGAGCCAATTCTCTGGCCCAATCCACTTGGTCAGCCTCCTTGAGTTTATCAAATGTCCCCTGGGGAATTGTGTGTGGCCAGAGGAGCTCAGGAGGAGGCATCAAGCTAGGCTACTCAGAAAAGCCTCAAGCTGGCAGGAGGCAGCAGGTGGCAGCCTCCTTTCCCAGGCCGTCCACATGTAGCCCTCAACCCTCTCCACGGGGTAGCCTGGAGCCAGCAATGCTGCCATGTCGTTCTGGGTTCCTTTCCTCTCTGATCCAAGCATATCCCTGCTTGTGTCTCGCTCTGTCTCAGACAGACACTATGGGGCCAGAGGGCTGAGGGTACACGTCCAGGCGCTTGGGGCTCTGCCAGGTGTTCCAGCACCCTGAGCTCCACTCACCCTTGCCACTGCCACCTGAGCTGTGTCCCATCCCACAGCCAGCTCATCCTCCAGGACGAGACTAGCCTGGTTACTTCACTGCTGGGGAAACTGAGGCAAGGAGGAACTTGGCCAGAGTCCCCTGGATCTGCTAATTCAAGTCTTGTCCAGCCTCCAGACCAGCATCCTTTGGTTTATTTTTTGTTTGGTTGGTTTGGTTTTTTTGAGACAGAGTCTTAACTCTGTCGGCCAGGCTGGAGTGCAGTGGCACGATCACAGCTCACTGTAGCCTCGAACCCCTGGGCTCAAGCCATCCCCCCTCCTCAGCCTCCCGAAGTGCTAGGATTACAGGTGTGAGCTACTCTGCCTGGCCATTTGGTTTATTTTTCATACCAAAAGTCCTCCACTCTTGGCCCCCAGCTGAATGAGCCACAGCTCAGAGGGGTGGCCCAGAAGGGCCCCAAGAGTGTGGGAGAGATAAGGATATGGGCAGGGCTCTTGGCGGCCCCTGTCTGCTGATGGCCCTTTCCTAATGTCTGCTACCTTGCACCAACCCTGATTTCAGGACTGATTTTAGGGCTGTGGTATAGCATTCCAGCCAAGTTTTCTTTTGTCAGAAAGATCCACATAGATTCTGACAGGTGAGTTTTTTAATACCTCTTGGCCTGCCTCCCTGGCACTGAGCCCTCCCCGAGAGAAAAGGAGAGAGTGTTCCAGGTTTTCTTCTGCTGCACTGCCCACCAGCAGCCTCCACACTGCTCCCCATTCCTCTACTTCTGGAAGCTCGGGAGGGTGGAGCAGCTTCTGGAGTCCAGTAGCTTCCCCTGTCACTACCACAACCCCAGATGCCACCACAGCCATTTCTTCTGTCACCCTGCCTCCCCCTGAACCTTGGCTCTTGTCTTCTCTTTCCAGCCCAGGCAAGTAGCTGCCTCTTGCTAGGTTCTGCTCGCCCACTTGGTAGCACAGTTAGCCTTAGAGATCCAGCCAAGGCAGACAGACAGGGCTCAGAACTTCAGTCCTGCCATGGAGGAGGACGGGCAGCAGAGAGAGAAGGTATGGAACAGAATGGAGCTTCTATCGCTTGCCCGCCTACCATGCCAGCAGCCTCAGACCCCCCGTCTCTCTTCTGCCCACCTCCAAAGTCTGCCGGGCTCTCTCTCTCTGCCACCTTTCACCCTCCATGCCAGACCACCCAGCTCTCTCTCACAGCACTGTCCCCGCACCGTCACCCACCCCCCACAAGGCAGGAGAAAGCCTGAGGCCCCCCTCACCAGGGACGCTGTCATTGTCTGGCTCTCTCTGATTTTCTCTTCTCCCCTCCTTTTCTCAACCTGGAAAGGGTGGGAGAGAAGGAGGTGGGGACCTCCAAGAAGGAGCAGTCTCCCCTCTGCTGACCGGCTTCCCTTCCCAGGGACAGGAAGGCGGGGTCTGGGCATCCAAACAGGTGGGACGTCCCCCTCACCTCTGCCACCCCAAAGGTGCCATTCATCCTGACTTGTTTCCCCTGAGCTCTGCCAAGACCAATGGCCACACCCCACCCTCCTCCATCCCTACCTGTGTCTCCAGGCCCCTGAGAGGCGGGGACACCTACAGCTCAAGGGTTGGGAGGCCAGGGAAGGCTCCACCCAAGAGGCCATCTCTGCCCACAGGGATGGGCACATAAGTGCCCAGAGCTGCGGCTTTGGGATTGCCGGGGCTCCCAGAGCTGGTGAGAGAAAGAACAGGATCTTCTGCTGCCTGCAGGTGAAGCCTCTGGGCTTCCTCAAGCCCTCCTCCTTGATGAAGGTGTCGGGCCGCTTCAAGGCACACCAGGATGCACTGCCACGGCTGCCCGTGCCCCCTCTCCAGCAGTCGCTGGACCATTACCTCAAGGCACTGCAGCCCATCGTGAGTGAGGAGGAGTGGGCCCAGACCAAGAAGCTGGTGGACGAGTTTCAGACTTCAGGAGGCGTAGGGGAACGCCTGCAGAAGGGGCTGGAGCGCAGGGCCAGGAAGACAGACAACTGGGTGAGTGGGATGGCACCCGGGCTGCGGCCTGTAGCCACCTACACACATGGAACTTTCCAGTACCAGCGGCTCTGGCACATTCATTCGTTTGCTCCACCAAATTTCCTCAACACTTACTCTGTGCCTGGCACTCGGCAGGGCACTGCAGGAGCGAGAAGAACACAGTCTCCGGCCTCTCGGAGCTGACTTTCACGCAGTGGGGAGAGAAGGAGATGGGCAGGATGCAAGTCAGTGGACGAGGTCGTTTCAGGCAATTAAGTTCTGTGGAAATATAAAGGGTCAAGAGGAAGAGGAGGGCTGGGGACAGCAGTGTCATCATGCTGGGTGTCAGGAAGGAGCAGGGGGTGGGCCTGAGACGTGAGGGTCTCGGACAGACAGAGGGAGCAGCAGGGGCAAAGGTGGCAACACCTGCGTGTGCCAGGACAGAGGCAAGAGTGGAGGGTGGGGGCAGGGGCTGCCACATAGAAGAATCTTGGACTTGAGCTCAGGGGGAGACTTGAGCTCAGGGGGAGACTTGAGCTCAGGGGGAGACGAGCTCAGGGGGACAGCTTCCCAGGGTGGGGGGCGTCCTTCAGTGATTGAGTGCCCTGGTTCTGTGTCCGATCTGTTACACAGGTGTGTTTGGTTTGGACACTTGCTCTTCTGTATGCGTCTCATACTCCTGCACAAAGATGAACAAGAGAACTCTGCTGCTGGGTTGAAGCAAGTGTAGGAGGCAGAGGTGAAGGGAAGGCTGGTGCCATTGCCCCGAGGTAGATGTGGCAGGCTGGGCCTGGCACTACCAGGGCGAGGAGGAAAGTCGTCAGGCCCAGGAGTATTTTGGAGGCAGTGCCAATGACACTTGCTGATGGGGTGGGGGTGGGTAGAGTCCTGATGTAAAACATCAGTGGGGTTTGGAGTGGGGCAGATTTGCCACGATCCTGATGACCAAGGCAGAAGCTGGCTTATGGGAGAACAGCAGAGCTGGGTTCTGGCCCTGTGCATACCGTGCTATAGGAGGTACCATGGGGTGGGCAGGTGGCACTCTGAGCCTGGGGCTCAGGGGTTGCTGGGAGGCTGCACACCAGAAGGGAGGCATTGGCTCTTGGGTGGCATTTAATGATCTTCAGCAGGTCAGGGCCTTGGCCTCTGGAATTAGGATGCTTGCCCTGCAAGGGCCAGAGAGAGTCTGGGGTCCACTGGTTTTCCAACTTAATTTACCTTTGGGACTCCTTCTTCAACAGAAGCTTCTGGCTAAGGGGGCTCCCTCTCCACTCAGAGGGCCTCTGCCACCACCTGACAGATTCTCACTGAGGGAATGCCCATACCTGCAGGGTCTCTCCTTGTCTCCCCAGCTCTGGCCAGAGGCTCAGGGATCCCTAGTGGAATATGAGCCCCGAGCTGGGTCCCCAAGGGGAGGGAGCTCCTGTCTGCTCCTCCCTGATCTACAGATGAGGAAAGTCCCAGAGAGGTAGACCGAAAGCCCAGAGCCACATAGCAGCTCTCAGGGAGGCCCTATGCTACACAGGAAGGTCTGGCTGACTCAGGGGCCCAATCCTTAAAGGCCAGCAGTCACCTGCTGTGCAGCCTGGGACAAGTTGCGTCCCCCTCACCCCTTACCAAG